TATTATTATATTATATTTTCATTATATATAGGCCATCCTCAAGTTACAAACACTTCACTCACAAATGACTCAAAGACAACAGGAAAGGAGAAGACTAATAATCATAATCATAATCACAATCATAATATTATTAATAATAGTAATAATAATATTAATAATAATATTAGTAATGATAATAATAATATTAATAATAATACATCGCCGCTTTGAGACTTGTGGAGAGAAAAAGCAGGGCATAAATAAACATAATAATAATAATATACAGTCCTGAAAGAAGTCCTCAATCCACTAGAGTTGGAAGGAGACCGCCAAAGGTAATCTAGTCCAACAGAAGGGGGTTGGTCTGGATGCCCTTTGGGGTCCCTTCCAATGGACTTACATGTTGGCGCTGCCCATTCCGGATCCGCTATTGACCACGACCGAGAGCCTCGGCGCCAGGAGCAGAAGTGGCTCCAAGCAGTGGGCAAACTCCGCCCGGTATTCCGTGTCAATCTGTAAACAACGACAACAACAACACATGCAACACTACATAACCAAAATTGAAAAAAAAATTTTTTTTGCAGTTTCGTAAACTTTCTCCATTTGTTTGTGATAGAACCAATTAGGAAATGACGTTGTTAACCCAGGAACAAAACCATACCGTCACATAGTGCAATTTAAGCTACGCAAATGACGCCGTCCTAGTGTCACAAACCAGCAAAGGCTTGAAACAGTGATTGTATCAGTGTTGTATATTCACCTTGCTGGTCTGCGACGGGCGCAACCGATGGGGCAGTTTGACGATCTTCTGCAACCTCTCCATCAATTGCTAAGGAAAAAAAGTCGTTGTTATTATTATTACTAAAAACGTAGATCAAAACATAAGAATAACATTAATAAATTTCAAAATTTATTTATTTATTTATTTATTTACTTTACTTATATACCGCTGTTCTCAGCCCGGGGGCGACTCACAGCGGTGTACAACATAGAAACAGGTTCAAATTCAGGACACAGTCTAAAATAATCAATCTAGCATTAACTAAAAACATCATCATCAAAAACATCATCAATACTACAAAAGCCATTCCACGTCGTCTCATCGTCTAAACCACAATCCAATATCATTTTCCATTGTTCCATTCCTATAGTCATTACCAATTATTGCACTTCTTGTTCGAACGCTTTCTTGAACAGCCAGGTCTTTAATTTCCTGCGGAATATCAACAGAGAAGGGGCCTGTCTGATGTCCACAGGAAGGGTGTTCCAAAGCCGAGGAGCCACCACCGAGAAGGCCCTATCTCTCATCTGAAAGCCGTGCTTGTGAAGCAGGCGGGATCGAGAGCAGGGCCTCCCCGGAAGATCTCAAAGTCCTGGTGGGCTCGTTGGTCGAGATGCGGTCGGAAAGGTATCTTGGGCCGGAACCATTTAGGGCTTTATAGGCCAACGCCAGCACCTTGAATTGAGCCCGGTAGCAA